GTGTGGTGTTTCTCTGGTGTTTTTTCACCATTTTTACTGAACTCATCAGACACAAGTTCTGCTTTGCCACCCACTGCAATGGCTGCACTATTTCCCAATTACAAGGGGAAAAAAAAGCAACCATACAAGTAATATAGCAGCTTTTAGCATTCTAGACTTTTAGCTGTCTATCAGATCCACCCACCAATTCAGGATTACTCAATTGTTTGCTTACTGCTATTTCAATTGTGTTAAAGTTTAGCAAGTTGTAATTTTTACCAAAAACTCCAAGAGATGCCCCTCACATGAACACTTGGTACTTTATTAGGAGTGTCATATTTGATTTCTTTAATTTCTATCTAAAATAGTAATTAATCTGACAGCTTTCCTAATGATATTTATTGCAGGTATACCCAGTAATGAGTAAGAGGAACAGACTCATCCAAAGGCAATCCAACCAGCACAGTGGGGTGGGACAGATCAGTCTCCATCTCCCATTTGTGAGGGGATTTTGGAATAAAACCAACACAGCCACATCCCTGAAAGCAGCAACAAAACAACTGAAAGGAGAAAAGAGAATTACATTCCTATTTGTCAAATTTTCATTTAATGTGTGGTCATTTCAACCACATTAATGAACTTCTGTAGTGTCCAAGTGTCCAAAACAGGTTGTGATAAATACAAAGATTTTTTAATTTTTTGTTTGGTTGCAGAAAAAACCTTCAGCAAAATCCTGTCTGTGGTTTTTTGTTCATCTGGAAAATAGAAATCACCCACTTAAAAATGGGCAAGAAGACCCCAGCACCCACCCCCTGCCTCAGGGAGCTGCTCCAGCCCTGCCCTGTGGAGAAACAGGAGTGGAACCAGCAGACTTGAAACCCTCAGAGAGTTTCCCAGGCAGGGTGATGCTGAGCTGTAACACCAACTTCTCTTCTTTCTGGTTTCATACTAAATAATCAGTGTCTCATCCAACTACACTTCCTCCACCTTCACACTTTCAGATCCAAACGCACAATCCTATCTGAAACCACTTTCAAATCTTTGAAAAAATATGTTTATTATATTCAAAGAATCTCTATCCTAAAAAAAACCCCTTCAAATTACTAAAATACTTCTAATTACTAAGACTTCAAATTACTAAATAGTTTAATTAATCTTTAACCCTGAAGTTTATACTCATAACTACTATTCTTAAGAACCTTATTTAAAAATGTGTTTTAAAAATTTGCTAATTCAAATTTAAACTATAAGCAAGCTCTAACTCTACCCAAATAAGATAGTTCCAAGTTATGAACTTGTTCTCAGAGATGATTCCAGATGAGATTCCTTTGCTCTGGGTTGCTGGAGCTGGGAGCAGCAGGGAGGGAGGAGCAGCTCAGGGTTGGTGAGTGCACAGGGCACAGCTGAGGGGTTCCTGCTCCCACAGCTGAAGTGTTAACAGATCCCATATAATAGAGGTTATTTGAATGAGTTTATTTGTTTAGGAGTCACATATGACAGTTCTGAGTGTTCACTCTATCTCATTCTGATTTCCCTGCTCAGCACCACACTGGTGTCAATTACGAACGTTCAGGACTTCCCTTTAAAATTCAAGTGTACAATGCCACGGAATTTTTATTTTAATATAACCTTACACAAGGAGAAAAAGCCCAGCAGAGCAAGAGGCAGGAAGGCAGGGCTGCTGGAGGAGCTGCTCTCACAGCCCAACACCTACCAGGAATCCCAGCCTCCCTCCTGGCTGTGCCACCACTGCTATTGTTGGGAGAGCAAGCACAGAAAATCTCCCTTCTGGAAGCACAGGCTTGCAAACAGAACTGGGAAAAATCCAGATGGGATCAGCTGCACATGAAAGGAACAGCTCTGTGTGCACATCCTTCACAGGGACAGGCAGGGGCACAGGGGGGTCCTGCAGCTCACCCAGGCACAGCCAGGGCAAGGAGTCCTTCTCTGTCTCATCTTGCCATGAGGAAGAGGAGGCACCGAGGGTGTGATTGCTGAGGCTGGTGCAGCCCTGCAGAGGAAGAGGAGGCACTGAGGGTGTGATTGCTGAGGTTGGTGCAGCCCTGCAGGCTGGAATTGGGGTGGCCATGGCTGCAGTGTGAGTCTGGGGGGGATTTTTTAAATGTGGGCCCTGGTGTGCCATCAGCAATGTATTGGCATGAACAGCTCCTGCCTGTCTGCTCCTCACTGCCCCTAAGACAAAGGGAATGCTGCTTTTAACCCTATTTCTTCCCTCACTTCTCCCAGTTCCCATGGTCATCTTTCCTCAGGAAGAGAATTTTACTTCTCAATCCCCTGGGATGCCTGCTCCACTGCCACCAAATTCCTTGGAACGGAAGATTTCCAGCAAGAACAACCAACCTGACTGAAATGTGCAGCTGTAAAACACAGGGAACAACTCTCTGGGGTGGCTGGCCAAGCCTCAAAGTGCAGGGTGAGATAAATGATGATCCAAAGCACACTGGTGGCAAACTTCACATCCCCAGGACACCAAATTACCTCAGATCACACAGGCACAGGAATTCTTTCCCAGGACACCAAATTACCTCAGATCACACAGGCCCAGGAATTCCTTCCCAGGTTCCTGAACCTTAATGCAAAGAACAGTCCCAAAGACAGCAGAGTAACATGGGATAAAATACAAAAATACAGCTTCAAAACTGATTCCTAAGATTGTGCTTAAGATCAATACTCACTAACACAAAAGGGGCTGTTGGGGGGTTTAGTTTGGTTTTTAATTAAGTCAGCCACATCTACAAAAAATTACAAACTTTGTAAAGGTTTGGCTGATTAAATGGATCCTAAGGAATGAAAACCATGCAGAAGTTGTATTAAGGTTTAGTTTTTGTTAGTTTTAGAGCAGCTGGCTGGTAGGAGATGTATCAGCGCCCCAGGTGCAACATTCAGAACTTTTTCCAGGCTGGCCCCAGGTCCCTGTGTGTGGGGTTTGCTGCAGGGTCATGTTGAACTTTGGCCATGACAGAAATGTTCCTTTTGCTCAGGAGTGTTTGGAGCTGCAGAGGCAGCACACAGCTCCCATGGCAGGGTTTGGTTCTCTCCCACAGCCTGAACTGAGCCCTCTAAGAGCCCAACTTTGCTGGGAGCAGAGAGGATCCCAATTCTGGACATTCCTGGGAGGGATGAGCCAAGTTTGCCACGAGAGCACACATCTGTTCACCATTCCCCACTTCATTTCAGAAAAGCCAGGGCTCAGAGCATCACATGGCATTGAGCTATCTGGTAGGAAATACTGACATTTCTCAACAATAAAATATTTTACACAGATCTGTCAAAGCTATTTACATATTTCTCCTGTAGTTCTGGGTTACATATGATGAAATTGTGTGAGTAAGCACACAATTCCTTCAGTTATTTTCATCAAGCACGCTGACATTCTGACCTTCTTCAAAAAAGAATCAGAGCCTCCACATTAAACAAACACTGCTATTTTATTTTAAAAGCTTTCATCAGCTTTTCCAGCTGCTCTAGAGAGCTTTATGGAATTACTCCAAGAGAATCCAGGACATAACTAATGCTAGTTTTAAATGGCAATTTGGTCAACCAGTTCCTCAAAGGAGGAAAGCCCAGACTGTGCCAACACAATATTGGCCAAAATAGTTAAAAGTAAACTCTTTCCTCTTGATTTATAGCAGAAAAAATGGATGGACAAGGACACCCCAGAGAGGAAACATTTGCCCTGACCAGGGTGGAGAAAGAAATGCCTGGAACTAAAGGACAAGTTTATACATAAATTAAAAGCAGCAGTTCACAACTACTAATAGAAACACACACAAACATGTGCTTCTGCTTCTTTTGCTCCAAAACAGCTTCTCAATTTCTTTCAAGTTTAAATTTATTGCAGAAGATGCCAACAATGGCCAACTCCACACCCAACAAGCAAAGCCACTGATCTCAAAATTTCCTGCATGCAAGATTTAACACATCCATAGACACATACACACACATTAAAAAAAAAAAAAGCCACACAAAAAATCCCATCATCTAAGCTTTAAATTACTTTGGATTTTAAAAGCTGATTTGGGAACAGCGATTAAACTTGTTCCAGCTAACCTAGTTTTTATTCATGTCATTATTTATTGCTAGGCAACATAGACCGTGTCAAACCACGTTAGAACCATGAGAAGAAGTCCTTCCAATTTAGATCAAAAATTCTCTCCTCCCCCCCAGCATGGAGGCCACATGGATCCTTTCAACAGCAGCATTCCCAGACAGCAGAACCATCCCTGTTCTGACCAGGAGCTGACATTCCAAACTCTCAGCATCTCCCATGGGATGCCATTTACCCAAAGCTCAGCTGGGAGCTCTCCATGATGAGTCTTTGGTGTCAGCAAGCACAACTAGCTCCTGTCACCTGCAGGGCCAGGGCAGGTGCACCTTCATAAGGGCCTTCATTCAGGACCTTAAGAAAAATACCTTCATTCCGGACCTTAAAAATAAGATATTTTCATCCAGGTCCTTAAAGATGAGACACCTTCATTCAGGACCTTAAAGACAAGATACCTTCATTCAGGACCTTAAAAAATATGAAATCTCTTCATTCAGGACCTTAAAAAATATGAGATATCTTCATTCAGGACCTTAAAAAAGGTACCTTCATGCAGGTCCTTAAAGGTAAGATACCTTCATGCAGGACCATAAAGATGAGACACCTTCATTCAGGTATATTTTTCTTCCTACCTTCATTCAGGTTTCTTTTTCTTCCTCTCTGGAAGACTCTACCTTCTTTCCCAACACCCATTGTCCATGGTTTGCACATGGGTACCAGAAGGGATTCTGAAGTCATGGGTACCAGCACAGAGGAGATTATTTACCATGTTTAGCATAACTTCTTTTCATCATAAGAAACTTTTGAAGAACTCCAAAAAAGCCGCAAAATAAGAAAGAGCAGAGACCCAGGCTCCAGAATAAATCACCCACAGGAGCCTCTTAATCAAACCTTTCTCCTAGCACAAAGAACAAACCCTCCAGCTTCCCCAAGAGAGCACAGTGAAGGCTCCTACCTCTTGTTGATGGGTTTCTCATCCTTCTCGTAGGGCTTGACGAACCAGCGGCCGATGCGCACGAAGTTCCTGTTCATGAGGCAGCGCTCCAGCAGGTTGTGCACGGCCTTGAAGAGCAGCGTGCGGCACTCGTAGGACAGCCCGTTCTCCCACACCCCATCCTCCTCCTCTGCAAGGCACAGGGGAAACAGAAATCACCTTTTATGCCATCCTGTCATGGCACAGGGGAAACAGAAATCACCTTTTGTTGCGGTGTGTTTTAAACTTCCGGGTCCCTTCCCCAGGTGTGCCAATACCCCCCTCTCCCTTCCCCCTCGCCCCTTGCTGAGTGAGTCCTGTCAATCAGGCTTAACATTCCAGCAAGGCGGTGGTTGTGGTTGGTCAAGTTGTAAAGATGCCCCTATGCCTGGGGGTCACTGGCCTGTCTGGGTGTCATTCCCCCTGAGACCCTGCCCCTCTCACCTGGTTGGTGCTCAGCTGTCCCCTCCCCTCCCCCTGTCCCTGAGCTTAAAAGGTGATCAGACCATGTGCTCGGTATTCTGTTGGAGCAGTTGCTCACATTCAGACCTCTGTAACCATGGAATAAACCTCTGGACATTAAACCCTCCAGCAGAATCCTCTCCTTTTCCTTTTCACCATCGCCTGAAGCTTTCCTCCTGAGGTAAACGGAGTTCCTACCAAGCCTGGACTTGTTCAGTGCCCAGCTGCAACCTCCAGCAGCCAAGGTATCTCTGGGGTGATACACCACAGTTGCTGCCTTTGGCCCAGCAGCAAGGGTCAGACTGGCCCAGGCACAATCTACCTGGTAATATTGGGATTCATATTCCAATAATGAATTTTATCCCATCCTGTCACTGCACACGCGTCACAACGGCCTCTTCTCTCCCACAAGGCTTTCAGAGATATTCACGGCGCAACCAAAGCCAGCCTGTGGTGCTCAGATAACTCTGCTCACTTTGTGATGGAGCTGCTAAAAGTGATCAGCTGGAGAAATATCTCATCCCCCACAGGGAAGGAAGATTCAACAGTTGTTTGTACACAAAGGAAACAAGTGGCAGCAGCACGTTGTGTATTGCAGGCTGCAGGAGCGCTGTGGGATCTGTCTGTGGGGTGTTTTGGGGAGTCTGGGTTACTCATCCTGCAGGATTGGTGACAATTAGGCTTAAAAATAAGTTTACCAAAGCCAGGCTTAATATATATCCTGGTGTCTCTGAGTGGCGTTGACTGAAGAAAGCCAGGAATAAAAGTCAGCAATCAACTGACTCTCAATGATAATGAAAAATGCTCAGATTCAGAATTTTGGTCAGAGCAACCTGATTCTCCTCACAAAACTCAAAACTGTCATTTTTCTTTTTAATTCAACATTAAAAATGAAGATATTTAAGCAGCCTAGCCCTGCTTTCTGATGTACACAGAGAGAAAAATCAGCAAGACCATGCCCAGCTCCTACCGATGGGATTCTGCAGTCAAACACTGACACCTTCTGTGCCCACAATCAAACACAGGCACACAATCCAAGGTGATTTGCCAAATGGAAAAGCGAGATTTATGACAAGGAGCTGCAACTTCTTGCACCACTCTGGCTCCTGCTCAGTGTCTGAACAGGGTCTAGAGGCTCTCAAGGCACAAGCACAGCTCCAAAGAGCTGCACTGGCACTGCATTCCCTCACCCAGGTAAAACAAGGGACAGCTGGAAGTTCTTGGGTGTCTCCCAGGATATATCTGATACCATTCATCCCCAGCAACACTAACAGGAGGATAATAATAATATTATAATATAATAAAGCTCGAGATACTGCCCTTAAATCCCTGGCACTCAGATCTTGCCTTTCTGGCTCTAATTCCTGGTATTTCGTGGTTCACATCTACCCCTCAGGATGTGCTCTGCTCTCCTTGGACTAACCCAGCAGAGTTACTCTGCAGATGCCATTGCTCTGTACTCCAGGCAGCAGAGAGAGGAGAAGCTTGGCTGACATAGATAAGGAGACATTTTTACTCCAGTCTCTGGATAGTCATGGAACAATTTAGGTCAGGGGGGACCTGTGGAGGTGATTGCTCCAAGCTCCCACAGAGCCCAGGTGGGAACAGGTTCTCCTCTGTCCCAGCCCTGTCCCTGCACATCCCCAGGGGCTGGAGCCAGCTCTGAGCAGGGTCCTGCCTGCTCCCCTCTCCCTCACACACAATTTTGCTTCCCCTGCTTTGCTCCATGGTCAGAAAACCTCACAACACAGGCAAATCCTTGCATTTAAATCCCCCTTGGAAATAAACCCCTTCACCTTTCTCTGGAAGTCACTTACAAGCTTAAAAGGTTGCAATATTATTAACTAAAGTCCTGATATCCTTAAATTAGAGAGTGTCTAGAAAACCACACACCTCAGAGTTTTAGTTAGGAAAAACCTTACAGATTATTACAATAAACAATATTTATGACAGAGAAGGGAATTTCAATGCTGCTGGAACCAAAACACGGTGAGCATGTTTGTATTTTGGTATATTCCACACAGGGAAAAGTTAATTTCCACACAAGGCCGGTATTGTGAGTACAAGAAAGTTACTCCCAGGAACTCTGAGGGACAGAATAAGAGTAAACAAACCTGCCCCATCATTTATAAAAGAGGAGGTGTGCATCATTGCAGATGAATCACTCCATGAAATAATTTTCTGGGAAAGACAAGGAAAAACAAGGAGCAGCATTTCCCAAAGCAGAGACCTCACCACAAAGTTTCCCACCCCACCACCCTACTCCAGCTCTGGAGCGGAGCAAAAAGTCGTTTTTAAAAACTGTAAAGCTACAAGATAACACAGTAACTCACTGCAGCAACATCACACACGGCTCTGGTAACAAAAAGCAACAAAAGTCCAAAGTCAAAGGGTGTGAGGTGGCCGTGCCAAGCTCAGGGGGTGCTCCCCCTGCAGCCCTGGGGGTGCCCAGCGCTGCCCTGGCCCAGCTCAGCTCAGAACAAACATTAACTCCTGGGCTGGCTCACCGTGGACTTTAGCTGCACAATAAACTCCTCACCATCTCAAAGGTTACACTCTGGGTTTGTACACATCGAGCAGTCGTTCCGAGCACATCCAGGAGCTTCCAGACGACTGAATGGAAGGAGCTAATTCCAGTTTTATGCCTAATTTTGGTTTGGCATTTTACAGATTTCACAGGATTCAGGAAATCATTGGGTTGGAAGAGACCTTTAAGATCATTGAGTCCAACCCAGCCCCAGCACTGCACTGAGTGCCAAATCCAGGTTCTTTTTAAACCCATCCAGGATGGTGACTCCACCACCTCCTCAGGCAGCCATTCCAGAATTTATCACCCTCTCTGTAAGAAACTTTTTCCCAATATCCAGCCTAAAATTCCCTTGGTGCAGCTTGAGACTGTCCCCTCTGGTTCTGTCAGTGCTGCCTGGTGTGGGAATGCCATGGATAATTGCAGGGATACTGAAATAACACAAATCCTGTGTTTTGATGCTCACACAAAGGAGAGGTTTCCATTCTCTGTAGTGGTGCTCCATTCAGGATGGATGAAGCTCCATTCAGGACCACCAAGCTATGATCAAGTTTCCAAGCAAGGACTTGCCCCAGGATGTAATTCTTGAATGCTCTCCTCCCTTAGGTTATTGCAAAACCACAGAGCTCTCAGCTGAGAGTGTTATGTGGAGAAAGTGCAAGGTCTGAGATGGAAATCACAATTAAAACTCCAATTTTTGCTCACCAGACCACTGCTCTGAGTGAGGCACACCTTGCCACAGAAAGGGAAGGTAGAAGAAGCTGTCAGCTCAAGAAACCCTCACTTCAGAACATTATTCAAATTCATGCAAAAAAGCCAGCAGTAAGTGTTCTCTGACTTTCTGAAGTCTATTTAGTCCTTCCCCTCCCCCTGTTTCAGCAGTGGAGAGAAGCAAACATGACATCTGCTCACATCTGCCAACTATTTTTCTTCTTAATTCAAATTGTTGTTTCTTGACATGAGAAAACCCCTCCCACTTAATAGAAAATTGTACACAGCAAACCATTCATTACAGGAGGGGGAGAGGAAGAGGCACTTTGGTCCTCTGGTTTTTCTTAAACAATAAATCCAAATGTTCAATCTGATAATGCTAACAAACCAAAAGAAGTTGCTGACTCATTTTTCAAAAGGTGCTAAGCCACAATTTCACTTTGGACAAGTGTTATCCACAGAAGAGCTCTGGCAACCTGAAGGTTACAAGTGCTTCATTTCTGATGAGTTCTCTCAGCTGTCCAAAGCACTCAGCTCTTCCCCAGCACACTTATTGTTATGTCAATCCATTAAACAATTTATGCTCATATCCCACTGCTGCCTCTCTCTTTACATCACATATTAGACAGAGTTTTCCTCAAATGAAGCTAAAAATGATCAGGGAATGAGGAATTCATGGAAACAATGGCCAGGAAAAAGCAATTTGCATGCTACGCGTAAACAAACTTTTCCAGTCAGCACCTTCTCAATATTACCAATTTTATTGGAGGCCTTCAGAACTTTTATTTTCTCCTTTCCATTGTTCCCACAGCTCACCTGAACCAGTGAAGTTCATTTTACTGATTGTGCCATTCTGTCTGTGTGGTGCTCTTGGAGGAGTAATGAAAAAAACTGGAGCACCCTCCAAATATAAAACTCTTGTAATTTTAGTGAATTCTTAATAAGGAGTATCTTTAAATATTAAAACATAATTTATGTCAGGTTTTTAAAGCATATTGTTATTCATGGATATTTAGTTAAATTTATTAATCAAGGATTTCTAAGTAATATATATTATAAATGTAGATAAATCTATGTTGCAACAGATAAATATACAGCCTTGAAAATGACATTTTTGACAAGACCTAAAACATGAATCTCCCTCCTTCCTTTACCACACAGCACACCAGTAAACACCAGTTCTTCCACAGGCTGAGTGTTTATCACACCATTAACAATATCTCCCTAATGCTCAATGAACTCTAAAATAAACTGTGCAAAGAAACAAAGCCTCCACTTTGGAGTACAGTTCCCCCCAATTATTTCAATTACACAGGGGAAAAATCCATTCTTTCATATCAGGAGTGAGACTTTTCTTTTGGAAGCATTTCTCACCTCACAGGCTCCCTTTTTGCCTTTACATGACTGTGCCAGTTATAAAAACACTGACACACACCTGATTTATACAATTAAACTTCCTATATAAACCTCAGGTTCCAAGGGAAGTAAATAAACAGAGTCATGTGAAACTGCTGCTGTACACAATATTGTAATGATGTGACAGAAACACTTGGAGTAGAAGTTTTCCATTTAAAACCCCAGATTTTTGAATTAAAATACTTTCAACTGCTCAAAGCAAGAATTACCCAGCAAAACTACTGAAATATTGTTTTGAGGGCCTGAAACAAGTGAGAAGCAAAGAAAAAAAGGAAAACAACACAATTTAAAAATACCAATGCAAGAATCTGAGTAAGACAGCTGAAGTTTGTTGCTCTTTGGTGTCTGTTATCTACACTCACTGAGCAGAATCTGAATGCCAGACTCTGGACACCCAAACTGTCCAAAATCCCCCAGTGAGAACACTCAGCTCCATTCCAGGTTGGTTTTTGTGCTGCTTGGCCTTTACCAGTGTCACACACAGGGGTTTTATGCTCTCTGCCCAGCAGAATCTTCCCTAAATCCTGACAATTCAAAGCAGAACCTCTCTGTAAGAGTGTAGCCATGGCAGTTTGTAAGGATAACAAGGTAACTGCTTTCCCTCTCCATTTGAAGGTCTAAGTTTGGCTACAAAGCCACAAGAAAAACCGAAAAACTTCCCAGCTAAATGATCCAATACCTTCCACCACACTGAGTAATTCCACACTCAGGTAGATGTGGCAGTGTAAGTGAAATATTTCAGTGTTCTGGTGTCTCCAGGTGGTTTTGCACGGGGCATTGAACACACAACCAACATGACCCCGTGCCAACCCCTCATTCCCTGCCTGTGACAAAGCATTTTCACCTGACTCCACTGGTGTTTCACGTGCATGGTGGTCAGGGAAAGATGGGGAGGGAAAGTTAAATCTTTGTCACCTTTGAGCTCACAGCAAGACACAGAAGTTTGATAAAACTGCCTCAGTAATTTTTGCATAATGCTTATCAGCACTTTTGCTTAAGTGGCTACATCTCTAACATGGAGGACTGAGGAAATGCTGAAGCATCAATGCAGCAGGAACACTTGGAATGCCTCTGCTGCCTGCCTCAGAACACACAGATCCTGCCCAGCCTCGGGGCTGCAGCTCACCCTGCTCACACCAGGTGCACAACGGTGTAAAAGCATCCTTTCCCCTTTCTGTTGGGTTTTTGTTGTTATTTTTTGTAGAAGTTAAATGATCTTAGGGAGCAATTGTTATTTTAAAAAGGCATCACTGGCTGAACTCTTTCCCAAGCTGCCTTTGCCAACTCCTTGCAACTGGCAGGGTTTGCAGCCCCTTGGAATGGGAACTGGCTCATCCTCTGCTTTCCATTGTCCTGGAGCAGTGAGACACTCGGTGCTGACATCAGCACAACCTCACTGCATTTTTGGGGACAGGGATTTGATCTAGAATGCACATGCATTGAAAACCACACAGCACATATCAGTCTGTGCTGCCATGACTGTTTTCACCAGCCAGACAAACACCAGGATTCTCCCCAGCTCTCCTCCAGCCAGCATTATTTTTATACATTTCCCCCTCACAGAAGCATGAGCAAGATTGTTCAGCAAACAAAAACTGATTATCTTGATATATGACAGACAACTCTTTAATTTTTAAAGTAAATTAGCCAAATTTAATAGACACCAGAATGAAAAAGATACATCTTGCAGCTCACCATTTAAGAGATGCAATTTGAAGGTCAAAGCCATATAGCAGCATTCCCCTATCCCAGCATTAATCAAATTGTAACCATTTCCTTGGGACTATGTCTTGTACATAATTCATACCCCACTGTTCTCAGGTTTAAAATCATCTACTGCCAATTTAAAAGAAAATAATCCAAGAGTAGAAGTAGCCACATGAAAATAAGAAAGAACCTTTCTAATAAAATAACTGCTGATCAGAGCTGTGAGAGACCATTGCCTGCTGAAATTGGAAGAGATGTCCTACTTTAGGGTTTGAGTTGCAAGAATTACTATAATCAAGCCTCACTGTCAGAACAAAAACATAACCTTTGAGGTTGTTAGAGGCTAAAATAACATTTCACTAACTTCTGTCTGCCTCTAGCTACGTTGGGATAGAAACAGAGCTCTGGTTTTTGGCTGTATGAACAGTAAGTAGGTTCCTAGGGAAGGGAAAAAAATAAATGATTGAGTGAAGTCAATATTCCTGATCAATCAGCATCTCTGAACAAGTCTCCTTTTGACATGCCCCGAGGCAACAACAATCCCTGACCATCAACAAGACACTTATCCAAGGCTTGCAGTGAGAACCCTGCCACAGCCACGAGCAGGATTCAAACGTGACTCCAGGGCACAGAGTGAACTTGCAGAATGCACAGCTGAACACAGAGATAGCATTTATTTCTTCAATCTGATATGCAAAGCTGTACATTCCCAACCCTGCATCCCCTGCTGAAGGCATCTTGGGAAGGGGACAAAAGGGAAGCTGACATATTTCAAATCCCCCAGGGCCGATAACCAAGATGTGTTCCAGTCACTGAACACCCATTGTTCACTGAAACTGCACATCACCAAAAATTCAGGAACTGTCAAAATACCAACCTGTCCTGAACAGGCAGAGTTTCAGAGCAAAGGGAGCAGAATCAGAGTTATTAACGCGGCTCTGGCAGATTTCTAACCAGGGCTCTCTCAAGGGCCACCTCTCCAGGAGAAATCTGTCCAAAGGCGCTAAGGGACAAACTGCTCCCACATTCCTCCCTGTCCCCATCCTGCAGGACAATCCTTCACCCATCCAGCAGCAAACTTCCAAATGAGGCAGCACCTCAGCCTCCAGCAGCAAACAATTTCCAATCAATTTTGCAGGTAACAAGCCTGTGCTAAGAAGTCATTTATCATTCCCATTGAAAATGTAACAAGCAGTCATTGGGAGAACAAGGCAGTGTGAATTACCAGGAGAAATTGTCCACCGATGAAAAAATCCATTAGGCTACGACAAAGGTCAGATAACATTGTTTGGGTTCAGCCATAATTCTCTCTTCTATGAGATCCACGTGAAGATTTTGTGTAACAGCAAAGAGAAAAAGTGCAGCTGTGGGCACCCCTCAGCTGTGATGCACAGGAGGATCTGTCCCAGCTCCTGGCACCAGAGCCTCACACACACAAATTCTCTTTTTCATTCCAGGAGGACAAAACCTCTGCAGGGCCCAGGTGACAGCCTGAGGAGCAGCAGCATTGCACACAACACGTGTGGAACAGCTCTGGGGAATCACAGGCACCCACAGGTGACCTGAAGCAAGAAAATACCCAAAGACATGGCTGGGAGACTCTAATCCTGCACTATCTCTGCCTTATACCCTAAGAGAGGTTAAGAGTTGGTAATTCCCTGGGATGATACCTGCTTATCTACCTGTGCAAAAGGGGAATTCTGGACAAGCACAAACAAGGGACTGAGCTGCAACTCCAGCTACAAACCACTGCTGTTTCCAAATGTCCCTCTGTGATAAATCACCAGCAGACAGATTCAAGAAGTGGCAAAGAAAGTTGCTCAAACAAATAATTTTAGTGGTTAGGCAGCACAAAACTGCACTTTTTAAATGGCTTAAATTTCACTGGATTTCCCACTCTAAATGTGTTTGTCTCAATTAAATCCCACAGCACACAAAATTCACACAGGTCCTTCCACACAAGTGCTGGTCTTGGCTCAGGGCAGGCCCAGGCCAAAACCACCCAGCACTGGGTCCAAGTTACATCTCAGGCACACAAAGGATGTTCCCTGCAGGTCACAACTGAGGTTATTTATAGGTCATAATAAGGAAGCCTCAAATGCACTAAAATATCAAGCAAACTCCAGTGTAAGTGCCATTTAAAATGCAAAGTTTGTAGTTCCAGGACAGACAGGAATAGGAGCAACAGCTCAATCTTTGAAGTTGACTATTCAAAGAAATAAACATCATTCCAGTGCGTCAATTGTTTTTCAGATCACAGTATTTTTGTATGAAAATTCCACACATTATTAAATTGTTTCAAGTCAACTTCCTCAGTGGCACTTTAAACTCCTGTTTGTTCTCCAGCTTATCCACACACACACACACACAGAGGCAGCATTAACAATTTCTGGTTACCAGGTCACCAAACCTTGGGCTCATTTTACACTTCAGTAATCTGAATGCTGTACATTATTTGAAAGGAAATTAGAGTGATGTGTTTGTTGGGCTTTTTTTTTTCCCTTGAATTAGTTGAGTCTCACCTTTAGACTCACCCAATTTAAATATCTAACTTCGTCACCTTGCTGATAAGCAGCTGGAACCATCTACGTGGGGAATTGAGCTCAACGAGCAAACAGTTCCAAAGGAAGGTGCCAAATTTGAAGTACAACGTTATTGAGAAATACAAATATTGTCAGTCTTTCAAAAGGCTGGGTTTGAAAGCAGGTTCAGGGCACCAGGAAAAGTGGGAGGAGAGGAATCAGAAAAACTGAAGGTTTACAGATTTTGCATGGAAACAGCTGGTTAGTTCCTGGTGCCTCCTTCTGAGGGCTTCTCACTGATGGTGTGAATTCCAACCAAAACAACTCCAAAAAGCTCAAGAGTTGCCCAGATCTCTACGCCTCTTATTACATAATAAAATGAGCTTTACTATTTGAATTTGAAAATTCTAATTGCCCAAACAAAAGGGATCTTATCAAAACATGTTTAAGACATCACTTGTGAATCACAGGCACAGCTTTCAGCACAGCTTTCTCATGAAGAAGCTGCCAAAACTCATAGGCTTGTGTTTTGTTTCTTTCAAGGGAACAAGTGGGGACCAAAAATCCAAAAATCCCTTGTTTCTGAAAAATCCAGCAGTCCAAGGGGGAGAGCAGATGGCTGCAATAATTTGGAGAGGGTTACACCAACAAATTCATCCTTTCTGGAGATAACACTCCACCTGGTGCAGGTGTCGGAAATGAGCCCTGAGTAGCAGCGAGCTAAGAATGCACAGATCCTTCCAGTGACCAAAGAACGTACAGATCCTTCCAGTGACCAGAGGAAGGTGCCAGCAAGCTCCTACCTGAGAGATCATGATGGATCAGGTCAGCAAAGTTGGGGTCATCCCCCCACCAGAATATCCAGAGCTCCCTGCGGCCGGGCCGCTGGTCGCGGCGCCAGACGCTGAGCACGTCGGCCTTGAGGCAGCGGCTGAAGCTGCTCAGGATGGGATCCTCCTCCGTCACCGGGAACAGGATGGGGGCAGACGTTGGGCCCTGCCACACGTAACGCTTCCATTTAATGCCAGTCAGATCAGCCTGCAGGGAGAAAAGGGCTGTCAGACTGCAGGCACATCCACAGCGAGCACATCCGCACGCGGGGAAAGGGATCCGAGAAAGGGATCCCCCGGGATTTCATGGGACTGTGTTGGTTGGTTGGATCTGTGTGTGCTTTAGGATCCCTGGGTGTTCCCAGTTTAATAACTGCAGCAAAGCAAGAGCTGTTTGTTTTCACTGCAGCTTTAAGGGTACACAGAGAAAAAGCAGATTTGATTTAAAGTAAAAGAGTGAAAGACGAGTGAGTAATGTTATTATTCACAGAGTGACACAGTCCAATCTCCTAAACACTTGCCTTAGCAAAGAACATCTTTCTTTTTGCTTACTTATGCATACACTGCCTTTTCCATCCAAGATTACTCCATGGAAATAGGTGATACAGTAAATCACACGTTCTTCCAGCCATCTACCACTTGGGAAAATTTCACAAGTTTCTCCATGGCAAAAAATTCTGTCTCTCCCCCAGGAAATCTCTCGTCTTCGCTGATTTTACCAAGAGCTATCATACTTTTCATTCCTCACACCACATTTCAATGATTTAAATCCTCGTTTTATCATTCAATTATATGTTAGACTTGCAACCACGCTGATAATGATCCACTAAACCCCTTCCTAGGCAAAAATTAATTTGGCTTTACACAGGGAAAGAGCTACTACCGTGTGTAACGGGAAGCACACAATTCCTGGATTATCTCCACCACAACACCAAGTTTTAGCACTCAGTTTTTTCACTCCAGCACAGGCACCTTAAGGCAGGTAGGGGAGGCATTGCCCGGGGTTCTCTTTGGGAAGGCAGAGCCAGGCAGGCTGGCATTTGCTAAGAAGTTACTATTTTCTGTCTTCCCAATATGACAACACACAAAAGATTACTGCAACATTTAAACCTAACATGGCAGCCTCCCTACCTTCAGCAGGAGAGCAATTTAGATGAAAGGTTGTCTGCAACAGTTGCTACTTCAGAAAGACTTTCAGATTTAAAATTGTACCATTAATCTGGAGCTGCAGGCCTGATGCAGGCTGCAGACACAGTCAGGCCGCCCAGATTCCCCTCCATCCAAAAATATGAGTGCCACAGATTGGCACAGGACTGTTGTAACAATCTCTAGGATCATAAATATCAGGCAGACAGCTAAGATTAGCTCATTTGCATTAAAAGCTGATGAAACAGCTCAGCACAGACACCAAAAAATTGCATCACAGTCCAGTTATATCGAATTTACTCTTGGAGCTACCAAAATTCAACAATACCAACGATTTGATATTTGGGTTAAAAAAAAAAAGACTACAAAATGGTGCACATCAAAACACAAGACAGGCAGGGCATCACCAAAATAAAAACAGGGCATCACCAGAATAAAAACAAGCAGGGAAAGGGATCCGTGTAAAAGCGAGGAAGAAGGGGAGGATTTGCCTGGGATGTCACGAGTGAGGAGGGAAAAGAGAAAGTTCCCCGAGATGTGGGGCCGGGAGAAGCAGCAGCTCCCTATGCCTGCGAGAAACACCAGGCTCAGAGGCAGGGGAGAAAGGAGGAAAAGTTGGAAGGCACGGAAAGGGAAGGAAAAGGCGAGTTCCAGGGAGGCTGCTATCCAGGAAGAAAGCGGAGGGAGGGGCGAGGCGAGACAGACAGCGATGGAGGGGAACCAGAGGGGCATGGGAGAGTTGGCTGCTCCAGGCAGGGCCTACTCCGAGGGCTCATCCAGCAGAAGCTCCGCTAAAAATGGCTGCTTTGCTTCCACTGCCCCTTCCCCCTCCCCCGGAGCTCCCGGCCCTTCCCTCGGTGGCCCCGGGCGGCTGCGAGCCGGGGGCCGACACTCACCAGGCAGAAGAGGTTGGAATGGCAATCCTCCAGGCTGGCCCCGTTCGGCACGAAGCAGGAACTCATCCTCACAGCCACAACCCACACGCCATTATCCCACAGCCTCCGACAAGAAAGAAAGAGACAGACAGAGAGAGAGAGAGAGAGAGGGAGAGGGAGAGAGGGAGAGACAGACAGCGAGAGGGAAAGGGGGAGGGGGGCTCTGCACACGCACAAATAATAATACAATTAAATAAGGGATTTACAGACACACGCACGCGAAATAGTGGTAGGGGGAATAACCCGCGAGGAGAGACAGAGAGGTGTGGGGGAGAGGGGGGGGAAAATATTAAAAAAAAATTAACAAAATATAAAAAATTAAAGAGGAACTCAGAACGTTTTCTCGTCTTCTGGAGCTCAATCGGGGGTGTAAAGCCGCCGTGGAAGGGGAGAACAGAAAGAGGGAGGTGGTAAGTAATCCAACGACGGGAGATTAAGATCAAAATCCTCCCTGTTCCTCTTGTCTTCTCGTTCGCATAAGGAGAGGAGGGAGAGGAGGTAAGGTGAAGGGGTAATTGATCCAACAAGAGAATAAAAATGGGGTAATTAATCCAGGGGGCTAGGGGTAAAAATCAGTTGACATCCCTCCTTCCTCTCTTCTCAGATGCCAAGCAAGAGAAGCAGGAAAAAATAAATAATCCAGCGGGGGCAATTAATCCAGAACCCCCCCTCCTCTTCCTCCTGTTCCTTTAGTCATCAGATGAGAAAGGGGCAAATTGTGGAATGACTGGGAAGGATTGGCCGTGGGAGAGAGAGAAAAATCCAGGCTCGTCTCTTCGGAGTCCGAGGGCAACAGGGTGTGGGGGGGTCAGATTCTTCTCCCCTGCTCCAAAAATATTCCAAATAAATTAAAATTTAAAATCATAAAAACAAACTTCAGGGGCCAGAAGCAAGGCCAGTCTGAAGAATTCGTAAAGGCAGAGCAAGAAAAATTTCCTGGGGTGTACCCCAAAAAAACATCTGCGGGGGCAGGGGAGGGGGGAAGGTATTCCTTGAGAGAGAAAGGCCGCAAAAGTCTCCTCAGCAGCCCAGCGGGGGATTAAATTCCCGTGTGGAAACCCCCCCTCCCCAAAACGAAATACTCTTCGCAGCGAGGGCGAAACCAAAATATCCTCCGCTGGGTAAAAATTCCTTCCGTGGGGAAAGGAGGGAGGGGGAGAAGGGTGGAAGGAGGAAATTGCGGGTGACCCTCGAAGTCTCTTCGGGGAAGGATGGAGGAGTCTCCGGGAGGCCGATCCCCAGCCTTTTCGGGGGAGGAGGAGGACGCGGTAAATCGCAGAGTGTCTTCGGGGAGCCCGGTCCTCCCCAGCTGTCCTCGGGGGCCGGGGGACCCCGCAAAGTCTCTTCGGGGGAAGCGGAGCCCTCACGGCGGGCAGGGGGACGCGACCCCCGCCAGAGCCCGGGGGGCGGCGAGGCGGGGAGGGACCAGCTCAGCTGCGAGGCCGGTCCTTTAAAAATAAAGGGGAAAAAAAAAGAAAAAAAAAAAACAAACCAACAAAACAGGGGAAGAAAAAAAAAAAGCGCGAGGGGGGGGGAATATAAAAAACGATCGTCTTCGGCCGGAGCGGTCTGTGCCGGGGGGGCGGGGGAGCCCCGAGACCGCTCGCTCTCCTCAGGTGCGGGTCCCCGCGGGGGCGGTGGGCGGAGGGCCCCCTCCCCGAGGCTCCTGGGCAGGGCGGGGAGGCGGCGGCCGAGCCCCGGGCTCTGCTCAGCCCGAAGGGGTCGGAGCCCCGCAATTCCCGGCGCCGCCGACACACAGGGACGCGGCGGCCGCCGCCGCTGCTGCCGCTGGCGGAGTCGGTGCCGCGAAGCCCCCGCCGGCGCGTCGCCTCCCCTCAGCGGTGCCTCTGTCGGCGGCTGCCCGGCCGCGGCATCCTGTGGCGGCGGGAGCCTCAGCGCGGGTCCCCCATGGCCGGAGCGGGAGCGGATCCGGCTCCCGGGTAATTCCGAGACCCTTTTTCTTTAATGGCGGCCACAGGGACGGCGGTCGGGGCCCCCCTGCCGCGCTCCCATTGGCCGCCGCGCCGTCACGTGGGCGCGCACCGCCATGGCCGCCGGCGCCGCTGGGGGAAGGCGGGTGCGGCGGCGGCGCGCGGCCGCCAGGGGCGTCCGGGGCGCTGCGGAGCCCCCGCCTTGCTCGTTGGGCCGGCGCCATCTAGCGGCTGGGCCTGGAGGCGGCGTTCCGGCGGGGCCGCGGGTTCGAGTCCCGCTCCCGCTGGGCCCACGGGCCCCGGGATGGTGGGGATGGCTCGGGGTGGAAGGAGCGCGGTGGGGCGGCCCGGAGCGCAGGATCATGTCTGGGATATTGCCACGAAAGAGGGTCCGCAACCTCTCTGGGTAAAGTACCCCTTGGATAAGTTCTTCCCCATGTTCAGGTGGAGCTCCCTGGGCATCAGTTCGTGCCCGCTGTGCCATGTCCTGGGGATTGGCAGCACTGAGCAGAGCCTGGTGCATCTTTTGGCAGCCCATTTCGATATTTACACCCTTCCCTAATCCCTGCTGGGGCTCCCATCCATTCCAGGGCTGATCCCAGTGTGGGCCATAAAGGCTGGTTGGACTCAGCGGTCCCTGTGGAAATCCTGGGATTCTGTGCCCAGCCCGGGGCACCTCCGGTCAGCCCGGGCCAAAGTCCGGGCACAGAGCGTGCCCCAGCTCAGGAACACTCGCCTTGGCTCCCCTGCCACAGCTTCCACCCCTTGGCAGAGCATTCCCCAGATCTGCACAGAGCAAATTCCAGAGTGAGGATCTCGGAGCCTTTTTGAAAAGATAGGGCAAGAATTGTGAAAGCTGACTTTAATATTTAATGCAAGCATTAATGTTCTCACAGACAGCCTCTCTTCCTAAGCAGAGCCCAACTCCAAACCCATTTTTTTCCATCCATGCCCGGATCCATATTGTGCAGTTCAAGAGGATGAAGTAGGTGGCTTCTCTGTTACTACATGCACAGATTTGCAGAAGGACTGTGAGATTATTCAGAATTAAGATGCTACAGTGACAGTGAAAGCTATTTTTAAGAGATGTTTGGAAAGTGTATGCGTCTTACTAATCCTCTCATATTACACATTAATTTTCTAGGCAATGCCTTGCATGTAAAATGGAAAATTTTAAATTACTATATGCAGAATTTTTACTGCAGCGTTCGAGTGAAAACACAAACCAGTGTAAAGCACCTAAAGTAAAAGAAAGCCCTGAATGTCTCAGCTAACCTGACATTCACATTAAAATATGATATGTTCATGCAACAGCAGCACGTTGATCACAACCATGCAACACGATGATGTTTCAAAGGCCCTGCAAATTATTTCAGGACTCCTGAACAAGACGAGCGACAACCTTCTGCAAATGTCTTGATAGAGTAGGAGGAAAGAAGGACACTCTATAAATAAACTTATATGACAAGTTAAAAAAAATAAGTGAGGCTAGATATATTCACCAAGAGAAACTTTGAAGATTTACTCACACTGAGCCTATTTTTGTATGCCAGTGTAGGCAAGCAAGATTCTTCTTTTCATCTAAATAGAAGCGGAGTATTTTTAAACGCAGGAGATTCATTCCCTCAGTGCTCATGGCAGCACGGCAGCTGGGGCCGGAGCCGGGATGCGGGGGGAGGGCTCCGGGGGAAGCAAACCCCTTTCCAAGGGGAACAGATGGTTTTCCCTGGCTGGCTGCAGCCCAGGGCTGCCAGGAGCGTTCCTGGGTGCCCAGGGCCAGCCCCGGCCCCTCGGGAGTCCCCGGGCACCCCGATGGCCCTGGGGGGAGGCTCTCGAGTCACTCCTCCCCTCGGAGAAACGTGAAGGGCATCGGGGAAAGCAGGATTCTGCATTAAGCACATGAGAGCTGCTATGGGTTTGTCACTAAGAGGGAAGAGAATCCCTTGGTAAAAGGGATTTGGTAGATTTGGATGTCCAGGACAATGGTTCTTGCAAGTCTGGATTGATTTCAGGATAATTTTCCCATTTCTTTTCCCTCAAACAGCTCAGCTCCGTGTCTGGAAGAGAGGATTAGTGTCTAACACTGGGGTTGGTGTGGCTGCACCTCCAGCTTTGAGGACCTCACTCACTTCTCTACACAAAGCATTTTGGGATCTGGTTCATCAGTCCTGACACATCCATCACAACAAATCCTTCTGTAGGATCCCAGCACAAGTGCAGAGCATCCAGTAAACCTAAACCCAGGATAAGGAGCTGATAAAATATCCACCAAAGAGGGAAGAAAGCTAACACATCAATTGGGGAATTTTGAACTCCAGTTCCTCCTGGCTCACAACCTTGCAGCTTTCCCAATTCCATGTACAGCACCTCAGAGCAGCAATGCACAATGGAGAGCAATCACATCCATGGCTGGTGAATTCTGCACCTGAGACACTGCTGTCCTTTGTACTCTTTGGGAAATAAAACAGAGAGGAGGCAGATTAAAAAAGCATTGAGGAAAAAATGCTGTTGAAAATGTGCTTTGTTTTGTAGATAGGTTCTTATAGAGTTCTCATCTCTGCAACTTCCAGAAGTGCATTAAGCTGCATAATTAGCATCTGTCACATGAAGCTTTTTCCTTCCCTCTTCCTCTCCCTAGAGGGAACCTGCATAAAGAAATTTTAATATAAATTTTAGTATCTACTCTGCACAGTGCAATCATATTAGGAAAGCTACAGGCAAGTCAGTTTGTGCTCAGTCTAAGGCTTATCTTTGTGTAATAGAAACTTTACTATTTTTTTTAAATGTTGGTGATCCAATTTAAAAATTAACCAGTCTCTTGGAAAGACACCAGGGGTGGGGAGAGATGGTCCCCATTGCATCAGATTTAAACCAGTGGAATTGCCAGGAATTAAATTGTCAGGTATTAAATCCCTACAATTTCACATGGAAACTTCCAGCCAAAAGGAGTAAGGGCTGGGTGATTTCCTCTTCTAGTCAAAGCATTTATTTTGAAAGGAATATTTATATTTTTAAAACATCTAAATAAAGCAGGAGTTCATGTTGCTTTGTCCTTCACATCAAGAGATTCTCCACTGCTGAATGTAAAAGTCAATGGATTACAGCATCTCCTGGTGAATCTCTGCAGGCAAAAGAAGATGCTGCTTTTTAGAAATAAAGATGAAATAGAAATAAATGCAGCTTAACAATAGCAACATGACAAACAACTCTATTATTCAGCCTCTGATTTCCATTCAGACTCCTCATTTTTTGAAGTATTTCTTTTCTACTTAATTATTCCAAGAAAATTGAGATTATAGGATTGAACATACTGCCAACAACCTGAGGTATGGAGTGCAGAGTGAGTGCTTAAACTTCAGCTGCAGAGGTGGTAATTATTGTAATTGGTGCATGTGAAGCAAATATATCAAGTAGTGTAGAGTTCAAACTCGTGCCAGTCAGTCTCCAGTTGGCACCAACATTTCTGTCAGGAGGATACAGAGGTCTCAGCAGGACTTATTACTGGCAACTCTTCAACACTTCTCTTCTCCAAATGGTTTCAAGGGGATTTGGGTGGGAAGAAAGATAATTTTTAACAAATTAAACTACCTACAAATGGCGAGCTGCCCAGAGCCACCTAGTCTGCCTTAGTCACTACTACCAAACCATTTTCAAAAAGAAGATTAAAAATATCACTGCTGGCAAAATTGCCTACCTGGCTTTAACAACTTCATCAGATCCCTGCAAAATTACCCAAACATGTGCAGTACACCAGGCTACAAGTGAGTGTAAAATATGTCCAGAGTAAAAGGTAGAGCAGAATCTTCACTCAGCGTGTCTTGAGTTACCAGAATCCAAATATCCCAATAAGGATATATCCTATAATTAAAAAAAAAAAAAATTAAAATCAGTTTTTAATTGAAATTTAGAAGGATTAGGAGGAATGGTGATTTCCCATTAGTATTTATGTCCCAGCATTTGGAAGGTGCAAACCAGAGCTCAGCTCTGCACTCTGAGCTCTCCCAGGAGCCTCTGCCCTGTGCCAGATTGATGTCCAGCTGCTTTGTTTAGACCTTGCTAAAATGCCTCTTTCTAATGGTGGATTTGTCATTTCTAGCAGAGGTCTCCAAGAGAAGATTTGAGTTTAATGCACAGCAATAAAAAGAGGAATATGAGAATTCTTGCTCTCTTTAGTGTCAGCTTTGGTTAAGACATATGAATGCACATGAATAGTCTTGTCAGAATCTCTGGGGCTACTGACATTCAAGATCTAACATATTATTACTTCTGACCAGAACATTAGCTGCTGTGCAGGAAGGAGAAGGGAAAGAGGAGAAAGGGATAAAGACAGGACCACTCCCTAATCAGACAGAAATTGTTATGGATTTCTCTGGCTGGAAATCTCTGAACAGAACTTTTATGCTGTGAAAATACAATGCTCACATTCTCCAACCTGATTGTAGAGCCTCTTTAAAATCTGCAGCAGGAAAAACAAAACCCAGCATCTTTTAATGCCTGATCTTGCTCATTTTACTCATGGAAAGGATCCTAATTAACCTATAAATAATGACTATACAACCAAGTATTACATCTTTGTAAGAGACATGTGCTAAGGGTGGTTTGAGCTGCTGACTCTATTTTTTAGAATTCCTTTGAATCACTATTTTCAGAGACAAATAAGCTAATTAATTTAGTTAAAATAAGGTAAATTTCATTCCAATCTCAGCATATATCAAATCTGGACACCACTACAATGGAAAGATTCATTCACCAGAGGCCAAAACCTTCCAATGTCCTCCTGGCTGAATAAAAATGTATTTCAGATATTTTTAGTTGTTATTGTTTGTAATTCATTTCTAAAGTAATTGAAAATATCCAGATATTGGTTTAATCAGTATTTTTGTGCTCTGAAATTTGAGCTGAAGGAGGACAACCAAAGGGAACACCCTGCCCTTTGTGACTGAAACCACCTTGAGAATCCATTCAGGAGCTCCAGCACATCAGACAAAGGCCTGGATTTGTTTGGAGCAATAAATGATAGAGACCTTTACATATTTGAAGTGCAACAGATGGTCCTGCAAGGAGAACAGAATGACTGGCAGACAGCACTTCGTTAGAGGGGCTTGGAATGTCTTCAGCAATTACACAGGCAGTGTTTTGGGGGGAAGCCCTGTCATCTCTGGGATTCTTCCCATGGAAATTGCTGTGATTTCCTTGGTGAGATGCTAAAAAATGGTATCTGCTAAAACCCAGGCAGGGAACTGGAAAAGGGAGCACCTTTGGCCCTCCCAAGGCTGCTCAAGATGAGGCTTCACCTGAGAAGAGAGATGGGAGTAGAAAAAGAATTAAATCAGCATGAAGGCAAAAGAACTTTGGGCACATAACTGTGAAACTGTTAATCCATGGCCAAGTATTCCATGGAAGTGTAATTCAGGAAAAAAACCAAGGTTTAGCACAAGGTCCAGCAGGCTTTTAGAAATTGGGAAGCCTATAGGTACAACAGGCAGAATATCAAGAAGAATACACCCAAAAGACCTGAATTATGAATAAGAACCTCCTTTCTTTGGGAAACTGGTGATTTTTGAGGAGTCCTCCTCCACATGAAACACTGTGGCTGCAGTTCTTCAGGGCAGGGGAAAGGAGTTTTTTGAGGCTGTCCATTCTTTCCATTTTCACAGACAAGCTATTTCACAAGCCAGCAATTAATAACTACAATTTCAAAGCAAGAGCAATAAAATGCTGATTTTCTACTGTAGATGTAGCTTAGAACAATTTAACTCCCATCTCCCCCATCCCTGTCATTCCAGGACTAATCTGTTCTGTTCCAAAACCTTCCCCACCAAATCCACTTGGAGTAAAATTTTCTGTGGCAACACAGGCACAACAAAAAACGTGTCCTTTCCCAATGTAACTTAAATGTTGATGGAATCATAACTGCATTACTCCCTCTCCAATTAGCAGCAGCATTCTTTATGTTTGCTTACGAAGCGTGAACCGTTCGCTTGTCACTACAAAGACCTTCTGTGGAGGACCTAAAAATACAGCCCCAGCAATTAAAATGACAACAACAGAGGTGGATTGGTCACATCATGACACAAAATATCCAGCTGTTTCTTCCCAGCACAAGGACATGAAATATTATGAGGAAATTTCGACAGGCCACGTAACGCTGCTGGATATTCTGGGGGAAATCTGGATTTCCAAGAAAGGAGGAGATTGATGTGGAACTATGTCTGAGATCACAGATTGATTTTTTCCACTTGATCAGGATTGTCATTCACGCTTTTTATCTGTACAAATTTTCCTTTTTTCTCTGCTGGAACTTTATTTTGTGAGAAATTCTCTAAATCTAAGAAAAATTCGAGGTGGAGTATCCTCAAAAATAAGGCAAAAAGTGATCTGATAGGGTTAGATCTAGAAAATCAGATTTTAAACTTACTTAATTTGGTTGTGTTAAAAACATTCTAAGAGTTTATTAAGACCATAAGTCTCATTATAACAAACAGAACATCTTGTATAATCACATCTGTCTGCTGCTGGTTCCTGCCTATTCTGCTTCCCAATCAGATGGGAAGTTATTTGTAATACATGTGGGGAATTTAAAAAATAATTTAGAATATATATTTAAATAATAAGAAAGGCTGAAAATGAAATGTTTCAGGTTAGTTTTTCCTAGTTAGTATTATAGGAGATAGATGTAGAGATATAAATATAGATATATTTATCCTTCCCAGTTAGCATTATAGGAGGTAGATGTAGAGATATAAATATAGATATATTTATCCTTCCCAGTTAGCATTATAGGAGATAGATGTAGAGATATAAATATATTTATCCTGAAGTGATAAGGTAGCTTTGATTTCTAATACAGCAGGAGAAAATAACTGACACACACAGAACCAGCCACTCAAGGGGGGGAAAACACCCAAACACTGTCTATAGAATCCACCTACAGATATGTCCTTGGAGAAAAACTGATGAGAAAATTATCAGGCAGATTTTTCCTTGCTCTTTCCATCCTGGAAGTTTTTGCCTCTCCTAACAGCACAGCCATGGCAAGTGATATGTATCAGAATTCATCCATGCAGTTTATTTTGCACATCAAATTGATTATCCATGACTTCTTAGGCAAACACAGGAATGCAGAAAACATGTCAGCTGTTATAGAGAATATATGGGCATTGCTCTCCTTACTTCACATTTAGAAAGAGCAGCAGATAATGAGCTCAACCATTACCTTGAGAATAAATTTCATTTCCAAGTTCAGGAGTATCTCTGGGTTCTCATCTGTTTTGTGAACCAGAACTTACAGGTAGCTCATAACATTTGTCTTCTGAGCTGTGTTTGTCTCCAGAGTAATTGTCATCAGTGGGCAAAGGCTCTGATGTCCTCATCCTCATGCCTTCAACCATGATGACCTTACAGACTCAAAGCAGTCACTGCAAATACAGAAGACAAGGAAAAAATTTAAGAAATAAAAGCCCTGTCTTTTTCCTTCCTTAAATTCCCAGAATTCATCTTCAGATTCATGCCTGTAGCAAAAAAAAAAAAAAAAAAAAAAAAAAAAAAAAAAAAAAAAAATCAGACTAAAATATTACCCTTCTGTATGTTTCATCTGAAGTAATTGCTTGGCAACAAACATCTCTTGCTCTGCAAGAATTCTGCAGTGAATTTATTCACATCAGGAAAAACACAGCAGAAAGGTGTCTGGTTTGAAAGTTTCCAAATCAGACACCAGGCACAAAAACCCAGAGTGACAGAACAGGCAAGACCCAACCTGGGACCATCCTGGGGACACACAGACCATCTTTTCATCAGCAGCCACAGGAAATATAAGACAACCAAAAGTTTTGAGATCAGCAGGTTCTGACAAATCAGTAATTAATTCTGAGCTGTAATAATAATAATGTGTGTTTGAGCAATATGGCATAAATATCATTATTCTTTGCAGATATTTGCTATTCATTACAATGGAAACTGTTCCATTCTGCACTGTGGTAACACAGTGGGATCAGACCCCATTTTTATGAAGACACCAAGCACAAGATGTTCAATCTCAGAAGGTGAATTCCAAGACATTGGGCTGATAAAGGCATTTGAGATTCTGTAAAACATATATCATACAATAATTACATTTCATTATGTGGTTTACAAAAATCTATTCACTGAACTACAGAAGCTTGTCAGGCATTCTTTATTCCCAAAGAATAACATTCATCCATGAAAACAGTCTGATTTAAATAACTGAGTGCTGGCAGATGAAAATTACTGGATAAAGCAAATAGTGTCTTATTGAAAATCAAAGCTACAAGTTTGAGTCACTCTTACTACTGAGATACTCACACCTGACCAGGCTTTAGGTACTGGAAATGCCATCTGTTTTCAGACACATTGGCCTGGCTGTTGGCAGAATCCTTGCAGGATTTTGCAGTGAAATCAAACAAGTCAAAGTCTGGAAGGCTTGAAAACTTGGCCCCTGAATGAGTGCAAAATGCAAGTAAAACATGAAGCTGCAATCACAATACAGGAGTGGAGATGGAGCTGCAGCTGGAAGTTCAATCAAACCCCTTTGTGTGAAGTGAGTGACCATCACTCAGTTTTGTATTTGGCATCAGACCTTGGGGAGCAGAAAACCAGGGAGAAGGCAAAACTTGTGCTGGGAAGATCTGAAAGATTCAGGGAGGAAATTGGTGGGAAGTGCCCTTCCTCTCCTGCAGACACTGCACAGCAACTGCAGGGAACAAGCAAAAGGCAGGAGAACACAGCACATGGATCCTAAAGCCACAAACTGCTGGGAGCACAAGGGAGAATCAACCCCCCTCCTGTCAGGTAGAGCAGAGCCTGTGTCAACAGGAATCACACACTCCCACTGTTGCTCAACAGATGTACTTGAACTAGAGATAAGGCACTTCAAAACTGCAGGGAAGTTATGTGCAAAAGGTGTTGCCTCCTGTGCCTCTCTCCATGCAGGGAGGGAACACCAGGCAGGATTCAGACACCTCATTCTGCAGTAAGGGAGGAAAAATGAGCACAAGGATTCTTGTCAATACAAATTATCCAGAGTAGAAGGTGGGAGACAACCTTATAAAGCAAAAGCACAGAGTCAATAATACATTGATAAATCAGAATACAGCAAGTACACTTACCACTGGAGAAAGCTGAGAGTAAATCTCTCCTGAAGAAGGCTCTAAGCCCATTTTCCCATTTCAAACCTGTATCACCAGTGAAGTGCCGTAAATGAATATTCTCCTGCAGATAAAGTGGTTGTCTTCACCTTTTGGCAGCTGCAGTAAAAACAAAACAAATCCTGCAAGGAGGTTTTACTCCTGAGAGTAATCTCCTCAAAGAGAGAGGAGAAAGCAAGAGCTAAAATCACTTGCACAATCATGTTTCATAACTGTTCCTAGGCTGGTGCTATTGCTCTTTCCTGAGTACAAAAAATGCACAAACTTTTCTCCCTCTTCTACTAAGAGGGAAAAAAAAAAAAATCTGCTTATCTTTGGATACACAGAGACTTTGGAGGAGCTCCAAACAATGGAGCACTGTGTGCCCCACTCATCACACAGACACTGAAGAAAGAGTGTGGCAAAGAATGCACAAAGTATGTAATTACTGTTTCACAAGATAATTCCATTATTAATACATCCCCAAAGATAGCATGCACAGCGCTGCAGTTTAATTAGATGGTAACTGGAGGGGGTTTGAATTTATGAGGTAATAAATATATTTTGGACTAATAAACTCCAAGGCTGAAGTGTTTATTAATCTAGAATATAAAGATTACATAGTTGATAGGAGACAACCTCAGGTTGTGCTGAGATGCCTGTTGTTTATACACTTCAAAATTAATATTTTCCTCTTTTGGGAGCAAGATTAGAAAGCCAAGATTGCGGTGGATGGTGCTGAAAAATACCAGAAACTGCCCAACAGTTCTGTGTTCTCACAGGCAAAGACTATTTAAGTCTCAGCAGATGGTGTGGTTTTTAAGGTTTCACCTTTTAATCAATTTATCACCTCCTAAACTATTCAGTACTGCAAATAAACTCCCTTCTGACACTGTCAGTGCCTCATTCTGATGGTAAAAACCACAGATTCCCTTGTAGGATAACCAGACCCTTTACAAGACTATCAGACCTCACCTCTGTTCCCCCCAGACATTCAATTCCATCTTCATTTTCCTGCTCATGGATTCACCTGCAAGACCACATGAACAATTTTGGTTGAATTTTTTTCTCTCCTGAACATGGTTACAGAAACTTTTTGCCTGGTGCAGCACATGAAGGATTTGGGAATCAGCTGTTGTGAGGATTTATATCCCAACCAGCTGTGCCAGGAAGTCAGAGGAATCAAATGGTCTCATCTATTAACTTGTCCTCAGGTAGTTACAACCAGAGCTTTATAAATTAGCCCACAGCTCAGTCCATTTAAACCACATTTCTCTGCTCTTTTGGAAGTGCCAATGCCTCACTCAGGCAAGACAGAAGACCAGGAAAAAATGGGCATGATTGAAGTCAAAGACCAGTTTTGCTTAAGTCAAAGCTAAATTGAGGGCTGAGGGAATTGCAGAGAAAGAAAAAGAAGAAACATGAGGAGGAGAAACCTGTGGGATCTTGCAGGTGAATCAAGACTGAGGAGTGCAAAGGAGCTGCTCCCATTCCTGGCTGAATGATGGATGCTGGACAAAACCAGGGCAATGAACCCTGGCTGTGCCAAAGGAGCTGTGGGGCAGGAAAAGAGGAGAGAGGTGAGACACACCACAGCTTGGATTTATTGGGGAGGAAAACCCTGCTTCTCTGAGCCAGCCTATGGTGCCAGCAGGAAGAAAGTATCATTACCAAGGGCTGTAGAGATTTAAAGATATTAAAGAAACTGTTTATTAAGGAGCTTGGGTGATCCAAATAGAATTGGCTGTGTGTTCAGACAGATTCCAGGGTGTGCCACAGGTTCAGGACAAAAACCTCAACACTAATTTTAGAGAAGACCCTACAGATAAATCATGGAAGATGACAAAGAACCATTTCCAGAGCTCCTGCTCCTTCATTCCCAGGCTCACATCCTCTCACCAACTGAAGCAAGTCACAGAACCAAGTTTCCAATATTAAATCTCCAGGCAGTGTGTTATTCATACAGCTTATGGAGATGTCTTTACCCTCTGGAAAAACAAAGTTTAAGAAAAATGGCTCCATCTTTGGGGAGCATTTTAAGTCTCAGGATAACTACATTAGGAAATCTAACTCTATTACTTTCTATCTTACATTTTATTACAAGATTGGTAATAGGAAATTACCAAATAAAATTGGTATTTTACTTGGTAATTTTTTTCCATGGGCCTCGTCTAATATGAAAGATGGTGATCATCAAATTTATTCAAGTTTTCCTGTCAACAACATCATTAACCAAATCCCTCAATTTCAAAGTAAATAAAAGCATCTGGGCTTCTTGCACAGCAAGACTGACTTGCATATTTAAGCCTCATATATAGATGAATCTGCACTGGACCAAATTTGCATATTAATGAAGGACTAATTGCTCTTTGCAGTCAATTTTATGCAGATGAATTTACTCCTCTCAGTACAATTTTCATAATGTTCGGAAAGAACCAAAAAATGTAAAACTTTGTAAAAAAGTACACAAATGTTAGACAATCAAGGAAGAAATATCCTAATGGCTTCCAACAGCTTTACATTAAATCGTATATAATTCATCTTTTATACTGTTGCTTTATTTTAACAGCCTCCCACAAAGAACAGAACAATCCATGGAATAACTTCAGCCTATTCCCCCTCCTCGGTCTCACATTTTAACAGCTTGTAATAACCCATTCTATGATCCAGTTTCCAGCTGGAAGGATGGAGCCTGAATTTTTAGGAGAAGTTAAATTTGCTAAACAGGAATTTATTTGCTCCCAGACATCCTCATGCCACAGGACAGTTAGGACAGAGTTTGTCCCACACATTTGTAAGGTGGTTTCTATCCAGTTTTGCACTATTAAGGAAAAAATGTCCAAATTTTTGTTGAGCCTCCCCTGAGGTAAAGTACAAAATATCAAAAGAAGGAGAGGAAAATTCATGGGAAAGAAAAACATCAAAAAAATGCTGAGGAGAAAATTATAATAAAGGGAAAAAGATATGGAAGTAGAAGATGAAGGGAAGTGGAAAGGGAAGGAGAGAAAAATGATGCTTCAATGTGTTTATTCAGGTCTGGCTGAAAAGAAAAGAAGGATTTAGGAGAAAGTTCAAGGCAAAGTAAACAAATAAAAGAAAAAAAATGCAGCCACAAGTGTAACCACAAAAAAGGAAAAGAACAGGAAAGATAATGAAATAAGAAATAAGTGAGAATCAGAAAGCACAGGATACATAAAGAAACAAATAAAAGGAAATACAAACCCCACAGTTTTTCCTCATTCTGCCAGAACAGAAGGGCAGAGTTAGTGGGAATGCTTCAGGAATGTGAATTTGCATGTATAGCCTTCCTCCTGCCAAAGAAAAAAGCCTTATTTTAACTGTGAAGACTGATAACCATAATATTTATATGTATCATAGAATCACTTACAGAAGACCATTTTAATCAGAAAAGGAATTGCATAAAGGAAAGGTACAGCTTTGAATGACTTGGAGCCTCTTGTAGAAGGAACATGGGAACACAGCTCACCTTCCCCACATCTGCCTTATCTTTGATGGCATTTTTTGTCCTTCTCTACAGCTTTTGCTCTTTTAACATCTCCTTTTTGAGGCAGAGAGTATTCACACAGATATATGATGGGTTTATAGTGGTACTAAGAAATCTTTTGTGGTTTTACTCTATTTCTTCTCTAATTTCCTACTATCCCTCTTCCTGGGCCTTACAGATCTCCTATGATCCCACAATTTGGCTCCAGAGAAGCAAGAGTTCATAAAAAAATTGTCATGTTCAAAATAAAATAATCCTCAGAATGAACATCTTTTGACTGAGCTGTCGAATTCTTCCAAAGAAGAACCAGAAAATCAGCCAGAAGGTCACTTTGGCATCTCTCCTTCTGCTCTTTCCCACCTTGATGACTGAAGAATTTTTCTGGGATAAAATCACTCCTCCATGAGCAATAAAAACAAAAGTTTTATGGAGGTAAGATCCCATTGCATGGAGAAAAAGGGGGGAAAAGGCTTTAGGGAAGAGGAGTTGGCAGAAAATATCAAACCAAGGGGAAGGACAGGGAAAATGCCAAGAGGCTTTCACCAGCACTCAAAAAAGAACAGGCCATAGAACAAAGACAAACAGAGCTACAAAATAATAACAGGAATAATTGGAAAAGAATGACAAATACTCCACCAGGAAAATACTGGAATGCTGCTGCTGAAGAATTCTCAGTGAGGAAGCAGGACTCAGTTCAGCTGGGCAGCCTGGAGGTTTGGCTCTTAAAAGTTATTTGACAACAAATTACAGCTCTTTGTGAATACTTGGAATTCTGGATTATTAATCCAAACTGTTTCCCTGTTTTGCTCATAGAGGAGAAGGAAGGGAAATGTTTCCCCTTTATAATTTCTGTACATTTATAATTTCTGAAACCTGCTCTGGGCACTGCCCCTCTTTCCCCAAAGATGTCTGGTTCAAGGCAGTAATGCTGTGTGAATGTAAACAAAGATAATTATTCCAACAAGAACAAGATGTTCCACCCAAAATGATTTGCTTTCCAGTGGCTGAGATTCCTACTCCTAATCATCAACAAAGGTTAACCTGACCAGATTTAATTAACCATTTAATACAAAAATAAAGTTGCATAAATAATGGAGGAGGGAGCTCACAGACACAACAGTGAATCCAAATAAATCCCTCAGCAAGCACAAACTCTGGGCTGTTATCACCTGATTACACTGATGTAAGAATTCCCAAGTTTTTAGATCAACTAGGCACAGTTTTGCACTTGTCTATGTGGAACTTGATTAACAGATTGTTTTAATTATTATTAAACAAACAGCAAAAAACAGGCAAGAAACCACATCCCTAAAATTCAATGATAAAATGAACCCAGTGATATTTCTTAGTACTGTGCTTCAAATTCATAGATTAAGTGGTTTGTACAGAGTATTTGAGGAGTACAATAAAATAAATCACTATTTCCTCATATATAAATATATATGTTGAGATATCAGATAGACATTTTAAATACAGACTTACTATTTTCAGTGAAAAAAAACAGTCATATTCTGGAATATTCCCTACTAATGAAACAAAAGCCTTCTATTACAACAATAAAGTAATTTGCAAGTACTAAATGCCATAAATTGGGAATACTGCAAAATATTTAACATTTCAAAGAATGTTAGGAAATATTATTGGCCCTGGATCTCTGGACAATGTGTGCAGCACTTGCTGGTTGTGCTCAGAGTTACCAAATATTGAATATTAAAGAAAAGAACTGGGCATCAGCCCTTCCATTTTCTCCCAGTAAAGTTTAAACATGCCTTAAAATAAACAGTTCAGTGCAAACCAACAGATCTGCTATTGATTCATTCTGTTCATAAAAAGTAACAACATCGTGGTAAATTCAATCTAGTCAATGAGAAGTTTATGAGCCTAAATCTATCAAAAGGGCAATGAAAGCTAATATATAGAGATTAAATAACAATCTGTGAGGAAAAGACACCCAACTTCCAATTCCAGGGCACTGGAATCATCTCCTGATGAAAAATAGGGTTTGAATTGTTTCAGAGGACACTGCAGCCATTTGCCCTTTTTAACAGCCTGGAAGTTCACAAGGCAAGATTAACTTATCATTTAACTGGAGTGGATCTCAAATAAAGTTTTTTGATTAAAATCTCCATTTCTGTGCCTCCTGGCAGTGCCAATATTGCTGGAGGCAGGACATCAGCTGCAACACCAGCAAATCTGGAATACACCGCCATAAACTGTAAATCAGCTTTGTCCTACTTTAATATTGGTTTAACAATAAAAAAAGAACTTGGTTGTTTAATATTTAAGTAGTACAATTATCCCTTTAGAACTGATCCAGGAGGACCCTTCATGGGTACAGAGTGTGAAAACAAGGAAGGGAATGTGGGTTTGCTCCATGAGGAGGGTTTATTTGTAGGGCCCAGCTGAAAGGTGAATTTGTGTGTGCTGAGGGGATGTCCCAGGGACTCTGGAGCAGGGGAAATCTGTCCCACAGTGCCAGGGACAAAACTGAACAACAAAGCTCAGAGCAGGGAGCTGGGAACAACATCCCTGGCCAGGCTGGTGCCTTGGTGTGGAAGCCCAGACACAAGGGTGGCTTTCTCTTTATGGAAGCCAAGGTTAGAGCAAGTAAAGTCTCCCTTCCCATTCTCCTCTCCTTCCCATCTTTTGTCACTTCAGGCTGAGTGAACACAGAAAAATGTCAAGTTTTGGGAGGAACACTTTAAACATGGGCTAAATGTTGTCCCTGAGCAAAGAAGCAGGAATGTTTAGATGGCGATTTTTGTGCTTTGGGGGAAGGTCAGAGAGGAAGACCTGCAGGGTGAATCAATCACTGCAGGGTGACTCTGGGTGCCAGTGCCCATTTCTGCCCACCCTGAGGACTCTGCTGGGCCACCAGGGCATGGCCAGTCTGCCCAGCCAGAGCTGTGGGTGCCATGGGTGCCATGGCTGCAGCACACATGTGAGGAACACAAGCACAGAGTTATTCACTACTCACACAGATGGGTAAGTCCACTCTGGAGATCTCTGCAGACTTGTGAAATCAGGATGACGTGTCTGGAATTCTTCCTCTGCTCTCCACTGCTGAAGTAACTCAGGCAAATGCAAGTTGGCAGCTCCTTTAAAGACTCCAATTTACCCATTTTACATAATAACTTTCAGCTGCATTAAACACAAACACACAAAAAAACCCAGGTAGCACCAACAGTGAAATCTAAATTTGGATTACTCACAGAGAAAACACACAAAGTCTGAATGATTTTGCAATTAAATCAGAAGCAAAATGAAGTCATTTTTACACTAAGCTGGATTGTCCATGGGACACATCAGTCTGCACCCAGAGGGAAGTGTAGGAGCAAAGTTCTGCACTTCCTGAGGCAGCTAAGGAATGGCAAATACATCCTCACACCTCTAGACCTGCTGGTTCCTCCCAAATCCAGAACAATCCAATCTCCTGGGGCATTACAAACCCCTTCTCACAACAGCCCTGCCAAAAGCAAAGGGCAGATTTCTGTATTAAAGATTCTCTTATTCCATAGCTCCTGATGAGTGCATGGCTGTCCCACTCCTTGGATATTCATTTATTTGTTGCTGGGCACAAGAAACCTGAAATCATAACTCTCCGATTGGATTCATTTGGTATTTCAATTTCCAATCTAAATTTTAATTAACTCTTCTACTTCAGCATTGCATTTCATCATGATGAATTACTTGGAGGAATACACAATACAGAAGCTCTATGGAGTAACAGAATGTAAAAATATTTACTTAGAAATTTCCATTTCTTTTTCTCCAAACTGTTAAAATAGAATGTACAGACCCAGTAACAGAAATATGAGGTGACAGAAGAGAATGGGCCAGATCCTGGTGAATCCACTCCATTTTCCAGGCACATAAAACTGAACTGGCCTCAGCTTGATGTAACTGATACATCTCAAAAATGAATGATAGACATGAAATGGCAAAAAGGCTGGTGAGCCAAATTCATCTTACTGGCTTTGGGTTTATTTTCTATTATTCCCTTTCTAGATTTTCAAAATATTCCTAATGTTATTTCCTTTCAGAAGGAAATGTAAGTCTATCAAAATAATATTTACAAGCTCAGCTGCAGCATCCTCCATGGTAATTCAGCCTGGCTGTTTGTTGCTCTTTGTGAGGAATAGTTCTGCTTGAGATCTCCAAGAGAAGAAAACAACTCTGTTTTCCTGATATACTTCAGATTCAAATTATTGAAGTGCAGGATGGAGAAATGAATTAGATAAAGGCAAATATGGAATTCATACCTGGTGCTGTGATGAGCTCGCTGGTAACTGATAAAGCTGTGAGTGTTAAAAGAACTTTAATGAGAAATGATATTGAGCTAAGTGCCAGTGTTATCAGCACTACTGCCTTTAAAATAAATGAAATTTAAAAATATTTAACTTGCACTTCAGCAGTGTCCACTGACAAATATTTTAGTTTAATATCTACCTCTGACTTCCATTAAAATACCTTTAGATGAGAATATCAAAAGCAATTTCCATCTTAGTTTGCTACAGTCCCATAACTTTTTATACTCTTATCATTAAAAACAATTCCACCTCCTTTCCTCTGTGGAACTAACTCAAAGACAGATGTAACACACATTTTTTGCTACCTCCTCTCTAAATTGACAACATTGTTTCTGTGCAGCCTTTCAGAAAGTTTCCAGCTGCAAACAACAGAGCCCAGAGCAGAGGGGCTGCTGCTCCTGGTTACTGCTGCAAGAAACCTCAAAGTTACTATAAAGTAACTCTCATTATTAGGATGAGCTATCAATAATCATCTATTTTTAAGTGC